ATAAGCCATTATATTTTATTCAACACTTAAGCCCGTCTATGTATGTGAATAAATAATTGGAATAAAAAAAATCCATCCGATTGGGAAATGAATAATTTATTTACTGGCCCCATTCGACCAGTTTTAAGTTACGCCTGCCTGCCAACGGGACTCAGATCAAAACCTCCTAAAAGGGAGAAGGCCTCCGCACAAGTGATCATAAACGAGAATCCGATCCTTTAGTAGTCCTTACGTTGTGATATCTTTCATATTTTTTCCCGTTGCACAGTTTGATAGCCCGAACGTTGGGACGTCTTTCTTATATTCCCCTGCCGCGCAGTTTAAGTTCGCAACGTTGGACTGCTAAATTGATCCGTGTAGAAGCCTTCTCTCTTCTAATGGGTGTTGCTAAGACTGTCCAAGACTCAGACTGTGAACTTTCAGTCAGCGATTTTAATAAAATTTTAGGCATTGGATTCTTAAACTACCATACAAAATATTATCTAATTACTACATTTTTTGTTCTACGTTGTCTGATGTCGAACTACTTCAAATAAATGTTAGTAATCATACATATTTTCAATATTCCTGATGATTCTCCGAATTATCAAGATAGTAAATTATTAAAGTGGCGAGAGACTAAATTTGATAAATTCCAAAGCAACGGGCGCGAGTTGTAATACCAGGATGGCCGTGTCGCAGTGTGAAAAGATCGCTGTGTTGTATGTAAATAGCTCTTTCATGTAATTAATGCTTTAATTCCTTGTCACTTATGTATTTTTTGTATCTATCTATCTAAATGCTTAATTTATTATTACTTAATTTTTGCTTATTGTTATAATTCTATTGTTTTTTGGTGCCTATTTCATGATTAGAATATGACTTTAGATGCTTCGAATCTTTGCACCCCATCTTTTCTCTTTCGCTCTTCACAATTTTTTCAAAAATAAATTTACTAGTAAAACAAGCAAAGTTCACTAAATTGGTAAACTCGCCAAAATAATTCCAATATTCCATTGAAGTAAAACTACTGCAGTCGTAACTAGCTCGATAAATGTGAATGATCAACTGAATAAACGCAACCCCTTAATTTTAATTAAACTAACTTCAAAATACTGATATTTTCTTATAAACAAAGTGTTTCAAAATCTAATGCAATATTTTAAGAAATCGTACAAAAGACGAATTCTGAAAGGAAAATTTCTCGGAAGTTCCATCAATTTGTCACCCAAGACACTCTTTCTGGTAGTGTCAAGTCCCTCATCAATCTCTTGGTGACTCAAAATGCACTTTATTTTGTCTTGATCGTATGTTTATAGGTTTCCTTCACACAAAGATCATTGGAGTGAAAAATAAAATAATTTAGGACTCCTTATATCATTTTATAAATCCTCCAGCATTGATCTTTTACCAGAGGATATACTTTTAACGCAATTTTTATATTTTCATGGCATTTTTCCAAAGACTAATTTTTTAAAGAATTCAATTTTTTAATTAAAAAAAAATTACTTTCGTTCCATATTGTTTCCTTTAGTCCCTCAATTTGCAGTTAGTTTAGGATGCTGCTTAATAATTCTTAAAACAAAATTCGTTCGTAAATCCAACCTGCACATTGCATAATATTTAAATGAATTCGAAGTAGGCTTAACAGAACCGAAGCAGAGAGAAATTATACATTATAAAATTAATTAATACAGTTTACAGAGACTTAAAAACTAAAATAAAATTATCCTTATTAGACAACTTAAAAACTTACTTACATGTTTTAATGGCCAACATTAGTTTCAGTAAAAGTATAGCAGCATTGTAGACAGCATAATACATCGTTTAAATGAAAATAATCCGCAAACGATATTTAAGCGCGCCAATATTGTTTTTTTCGCCAATTTTTTTCGCGCCAATATTTAATTTATGGTACGAAAGCTGTTGAACTTAGCGTAATTTTTTCTCATTATATGAGTTTTGCTTTTATTTGCATCCTTTAAATTGTATGTAAAAGCTCGATTTGGTGCGTTTCTTTGCACAATTTATTGAGTAGTTTCTTATCGTATTCTAATTCTTATTGTATTCCAATACTTTTAAACTGTATTGTTCAAATTGAGTACTACTATCGTTTATAAGTTTCAAGGTAGGAAAATGCTGCATAGCTTTCGTGAAAAATTTTAATTATTACATATTTTTACGTTTTGTAAAAAATTTTAATTATTACATATTGTGTTTTTGATGTTTTAAACAATTTTTGAAAGAATTTTGATTGAAATACATTTATAACAATTCATGAGTGTGAATTTTATCATTACATATTAGATCACCTTTTGAAAAAGTTTTGTAGATTTTGTGCTCTTTAAACAATACTTAGATTGTACATTATGTTTAGATGAATTTCTGATTGAAATGCATTTTTAACAATCCTTTAAATAGTCATTAGTAATTGATTAAAAAATTTACTCATTATTATTTACCATTTTCTGAGAAATTTACAACTCAGAATCAAATTATATGGCACCATTTTAAGATGGGCACTAGCAAACAATATTTATTTCTACTGGTTAAAAGTATTGTGTTGAAATTTTTTTACTAAATCTATTTTTTTACTAATTTTTAAATGTCTATTATTTCATTACATATTAAGTTATCTTTCAACGAAGTAAACATTCATCTTTGACAACAGTTTTTAGTTGTGATCTTTAGTTTGTCAACTAAATGCTGTCAAGAAAATTGTTGCCATTTTTAGAAAATTGCTTTACATCTCAAAAGTAAAGTTTAAGGATGATAAATAAAATAAATTTTCCCTGGAAACTGAAGCAGTAAGATATTATCTGATTGAAAACTTTATACGCTTCAGAGATAAACAGAAATGAAATGACAGTCGACATGCTTCAAGCGCATCAAAATTGGGTACCCATTTTCAACATTTGACAGACGTAAATCTAACGAAAAAAAAGGATTTTAAAAAACGTAAAGCTGCCAACGAAAAATAAAGGTAAGAAGAAGAAGAAAAACCTCAGAAGTCGAAAGAGAAAATGGATGAAAATCAGAACAAAAAAAAAAGCATTAGTGACCGAAAAGCAAATCAGGGTAAAATGCACCTCAAAGCGTTATGGTGAGGTAGGAGGAATTAATGTCCTAATAATGGAATCTGCATTCAAATGAAAGCGTACATATTAGGGGCTGAAAAATAATTTTTTTCTTTCATAAATCGCTATCCTACAGCTTTCTGCTTACAATGTACCCTTGTTTACAATCCCTTTCTTCATACAAAGTAAAACAGCAATAAATAGTATGTGTCTAAAAATATATCATACTCCGTTTTTGGAGAATGGGGCACCACTTTTACAAAATCAAAGAAACATTTTTTTTTGTCTTTTTAGAAAAGTAAAATTACTCATTTTTACCCAAATTTCAAGTGTGATGCAGAAGTATATAAAATATTTTCCAATTTAAAACGATATTCAAACAGAAGTCACAAGAAACTATGCCGGCACTATTACGCAAAGGATTAAAAAAAGTGGATGTTGGCCTTTTCTACTTAATAATCCAATTTTAAATAATTGCATGCCCTCCAACTGCTACGGAATTTCCGTAGTTTCAGAAATCTTCTTTTCAGACGGTAGCAAAATTAATGTCTTAATATTTAAAAAAAAATTAATTTTAGCGTAACTTGTCCACTATTACTTATAAAAGTGCATGCTATATGGCTAGATTCTTAAGTTCTTATAAAAGTTTTAAGAGAGATCCATTTGCTTTAAAAATTTCTACGTTGGTTCGCTACCACTAGAAAGAATTATTTTTAAAATTCTCATAAGCTGCAGTATATGTAATTGCACCATGAATAAATGAATTTTATATACTAATAATTATGGTGGTAGTTACGCTGCAACCTCAGAAATTATTGTTTTTTTTTTCATTTTCAATTCCTTGCTGTCATTACGATAGAAACTATCCTACATATTTGATTTAATAGGAATTTAGAGTAGAATTTTGTTTATGCCTGATTTAAAATTTTTTATACCCTTTAGGAGACAATTGCTTATAACAAAGTGAAAATCAGCTTTTGCAACTTCTAAAGAATCAAACGGAACTATCAAACTGCTTGAGAATTTGTCTTTGGAAGTTTGTGTGTGTAACGTTAGTAAAACAATTTTTCCGAAGAAAAAAAATTACATCATAATCCCATGACTAACGTGATGGGTAGAGCCTACGTCTCTACGCGCTGTCTCCGCCCGTTCCAAAGCCTGAGAAGTCCGCATGTAGATCCTTCGATTTATATTGCGGTATGTACCGAGAGCACATGCGTCAGCAATTTCTTAACTTAAACACCAGTCTAAAATACCTGAGTTACGAAATTCACCTCATTATTTATTTATTTATTAAAAATAAAGTTGTTCAATTTCAGAGTGTATCATAAACATTAAAGAAAAAATTACAAACCAGGGAATGATGATCTTCCTATCCTTCCTTTCTGTTTATATGAATCTTAATGAGAGCATTGCATTCGAAAAGGGTATATGTTTACATCAGCCTGATGACACTCTGGTTAGCCAGAAATCTTGCCGGGCACTTTGAAAATATGGTTTTAAGCTGCTTTTAAACTTTTGGGATAAGTGATATATTTCTTAAATTCACAATATATATACCATTTTACTTCTCCTATATAGAGTTTTCTGACAAGTTTCTCACCACTCAACTTTTTTCCTATGAATGTATATTTTTGAATCCTCGACATTACCGCTCTGAAGCTTTTATCTGAGTGTTTGAAGTTGAAGTCTGATTTTTTTTACATGAAAAACTATATTTATCGTTTGCGTTTTGTTACGTTCAAACGAAACCATTTTTTTTATCTTAAATTGCAAACGATTTATATCCAGGTAATGAATATATTTATACTACAAAATTTACCATTGAAATTTATATTTAAGTTAAATAAATCGTTTGCTAGAATGTATATTATTTAACAAATAATATTTTAACAGACGATAATTAAATTCCCGCTCTTTTGAATAGAATAATATGCGATACAACTTTATTAGTTCACTTGGATGTCAGTTTAGAAGAAGATTATATTAATTCTATTTTTTAAAATGGTCAGTAAAAAGTTTCAACATAAATTGTGGAAAGCAGTCAATGAATGTCGGACCGGTGCTATTAAATGGAGTCTTCATGGGGATTCTGTTGTTTTTAATTTTCGTCAGTTTAAGAAAGAATTTTTAGATCCGAATGATACATTTTGTAAAAGTAATAATCTTTCATCGTTTATTCGGCAACTGAATCTCTACGGATTTAGAAAAATTTTGGATATTTCGAACAGCCATGTTGTCGAGGATTATAAAGAATATACGAATCCTAATTTCGTAAAAGGAAGACCAGATCTTCTTAAACGTGTTTCAAGAAATCATTCGTCTTCGGTTATTCGAGTAAGTTTTTAGTTCTTTATTACTTTGTCATGAAGAAAAATGCAAAGATAAAGAGTGATTTATTATCATTCATACATTCAAATAGCATAAAACTAGAATTTATAATGTAAAATTATTATTTTTTAATTGTTTTATCAATGTAAAAGAATGGAATTACCTAATGATTTAAGCGAATCGAGCTACTTAATGTATACATTTTATTACAATAATTAATATTACTTTATGATTTTTAAATTATGTTAATGTTTATAATAATAATATTCTTTTGTATTTGTAAAGTGGTATAAAAGTATACTTCTGGAATCTCAGTAAAAATACATGGAACATATGTAAACACATTTTTAAAAAAAATGCGCTGTTAATAACCCTTAGTAATTATTACATTTTAATTTATTAAACTTTTATGCATTTTAGAATTCGTTATTTCAAAAATAAAGAGTTAGTTTTAAAAACTTTATATCGAATTTCCTGTAAACATTCAATAGTTCTAAACTTGTTCGGAAATTTTTTTCCGGTGAGTTTATTGACAATTGGGTACTTGCACTTCAAGAACACGGATAGTTACACAAGTGCCCTATAAAGTCAAGGCCAGGTGATCAAGCGATCACCTGGCCTTGCAAAATAAGCAAAATACCGTGTTAAAGTAGAGCTAAATTTCTCCACATTCGTAAGAATATTAATTAATGTAAAGTTAATCAAATACAGCGCCATATCGCACATCGAATATGTTGAAATTTAATTCTTTCTTGTCTACATCTTTTACCATTTTTTTAAAAATATATTTTATTGCAACCGTGACATACTTTTCTTTTCTGTACCTGGAAACTTCGCTGCATAATTAGTTTATTTATGGTATATATGGCTTAGTGTCTGTCTTTGTGTAAAGTAAGAAATATATTGTGAAATAATTGAAATATTTGTGAAAANAAAATGCGAGAAATTCGCGAGTTTTGAAATTGATTTATAGAATGCGCGAATTTCTCGCGGTAATAATTTTTTAATGCGAGAAAAGGAAAAAATATGCGAGATTCTCGCGTTCTCGCGCTGTAGTGAAAACACTGATAATTAGTTTATTTGTGGTATACATAGCTTCACGCCTGTCTTTGTGTTAAGTAAGAAATATGTTGTGAAATATTTGTGAAAATTATAAAATGTGCCACTTAAGAGAACTGATGCTTGACAAGCTTGGCTTACTCGAAATAGAATGGAAAGAACAATTGCTAACGTAAGCAAATGCCATGTGACAATTGCCAATCACATTGCTTTTCAAAGTAGAAGCAGGTCACGTGACTTTTTTTTATGTTCACTCTAAGCTAAAAGAGTAGAGATGCACACAAAAATCTTTAAATTACAGTTATAAGTACATAGAAAGAAAATTAAAACAGCAAGAAAAAAACGTTTTCCACGCAATCTGACTTTCTGTAACAAATTAAAATTAGGAATAGAATATTGAAGTTGTTCATTTTTGAATATCCATCTTCTTTTAATTGAAAGAAATAAACAGACAAGAAGGGGAAAAAAACAGAATGTGGATTAAGTTATCATTATACAAGAAAGTAAAACTAAGATTAGTAGAAAAACAATTCGTATGCTGAAAAGAAAAAGAATAGTCTATCTGCCTTTACAACTAACTCAAATAGATGAAAAACGAAATAAAGAAGCATACACGAAGGCCATTTTTTTTTCTTTCATGAGTTTTCGACAGCTGTTCGTAGTTCTTCCCCCACTGTTAGTTTTTTTTATTACATTTCTTTTATTTAATTGCTTAACTTTTCAGGGTAAAATAATTATAAGAAGAGTTTTATCGAAAGCTATTAACTAATATATGCATGTTATGCTCAAATATAAATGTGACGCAAGCTATTAAAGTTTTTATCAAAATTTATGCAAATTATTTATCTAAGCGCACTGTTTTAATAATAATATTTTTTCCTTTTATGAATTCTTAGCATTACTTTAGTATTATTATGACAAGAGTCTAATTAAAAATGCTATTTTTGCAAAAAATAAATAAACCTACTGCTGTAATTGTTGCATTTTTCCAAGTTCTTAAACTATTAATGACTTTAAAGTTTTTTTGAACAACGTATGTTTGCAGCTACATCGCTGCAGCGCAAGAGCTATTTTATGGAAATATTAGTTTCATCATTAATCCTATTTTTTTATTATTACTATTAATATCAAAAGACTTGAAAGAAAAATTGGGACATAATTGTTTACAACTCGTTAATTTTTCGATTTTTGGAACAATAATGAAAGTTTTAACAAACTCGATCATAAATTATTCTCGCATTCCCCGTTTAATAAAAAATTTTCCATAATTGACAGTAAGTGAAGTTTGTCTTACCTTTGTTAAATAAACTTTCTTTGTCAGTTATGGTTAACATTTTTAATAAATTGCAATATGAGAAGAGTTCTATTTTCTTTTAAGATTATACTCTAAAACTTTTAAGATTATTTTCCACGTTGCAAGCTATGCCAGCTTACGCATTTACAACAGAACTTTTGTATTAATAAATATATGCTTTATTTTATAATTTTTATTGCAATATAAAAAAGGATAATAAAATCTACAAAAAATAAAGGTAAAATTTTTTAAAAAGTTTTTTCTGTATGTAAGGAATTAAATACCCAAGATTGAAAGGAAATTAGATTGAAATTTTTATTGAAAGGAAACTGCTTTAAAGTTTAAATTTGTACTAACAAAATAATTAAAAAAATAATTTAAAAAAATTAATGTAATTAAATAGAGAGTTTTCATTCAACCTATTCTAAATCTTACTTTTCAGATTATCTTATTCTTATATGCATTTCTTAAGTAATCTTATTTCTTAAGGTATCTTATTTGTTACCGTTATACGTAATTGAAAAAAAAAATTCTTTTGTGATTTTAAAGATGACCCGCACCATAAAACGTGAGGTAGATTCTGATTTCGAAGACGATGATTATTGCAAAGTAGAAAAAAGACGACGTAAAAGGAAGAAGTCCAGAAGAAGCTACAATGTAAGAATTTTTTTTTCTCAATCATATCAGTTTTTTTTTTTTTTTTTTTTATGAACTGAAATAAGAAAAACCTTTATCAGTGGCCCCTCAATGGATTTGTCTTTCTTTTTTTTTAAATCAGCAAAAGTTTTAAGAACCATAGAAGCTCTTGGTTTTTTTTTGCCTTAAGAGACTTGGTTTAAAACATATGTTCTCTTAAATAAACAATAACCAGAAATTGAAGTGGTAAGATAATACTTGATTAAAATCTTCATTCGCTTCAAAAATGTACAAATTAGAAATAACAGTCAACATGTTTTAAGCGCTTAAAATAGGAGCCCATTTTCAAGACTGGACAGACGTGAATAAGAAGAAAAGCAGGAGTCTGTGTAGAAGAAATTTGGGTCCGTTAGCAGACCCTTCACAACATATATTTTCATAAGAACGGACCCTTCACAACATATATTTTCATAAGAACGGACCCTTCACAAAATATTTTAACTTAATAACGGACCCTTCACAAAATAATTAATCTTTTAATCGGACCTTTCACAAATTGGTTTATCTTCATTATTGTTTTGTTAATCGAATAACCCTTCCCAGGAAAGGGGGGAGGGAGAAAGATAGATGTAAACGAGCTATGTTTTGTCTTCGGTAGACGCTTCTTCCCTTATTCGTCCGAAATAAATATTCTGCGTTTAGCAGAATAAGCTAAATACCAAATATTTGTATGTTGCTTCTCTAATTTAGTAGCAGCAATTGCTGTTTATTTTTAAAAATTAAATTTTTTTTAATTATAATTTTACAGTATTGCTTGTATATCTTTACAATTTAAAAACTCCTTGAAAAAGTTTTTTGCAGTAACAGGACCCTATTTGCACAAATTCACAAAAGCAGGACCCTGGTTGAAAGATTGTGACTTAACGCTTATTTTATATTCACAAATTACGAGTAATTTCTTCACAATTTTACAAAAACGTACTTTTCACAAAATGTCTGGACAGACTCCTGAAAAGTTATTTGAAATATAAAAAAAGTACTGTCACCACGAAAAATGGAAACATAAAGGAGAGAAACAAAAATAGAAAAACCACAGTAGCCGAGAGAGAGAAGGATGAAAAAAATAAAAATAAAAACCGCAGTGGCCGAGAGGGGCAAATGAGGGAAAAATGCCTTTCTACGAGCTATGGAAAGATGGTTAGGAACTAATGCCGTTAACAAGGGAATCAGTATTCATATGAATTCTACCAGATTCCAGGTCAATAAAATGAGCTGGTATGGCTGGAATGGGAATAATTTTGGCATTGCCGAAATTTAATTTATGCCCATGCGAAACAAAAGTAGACAAACCACTGCGCACGATGCCGTCTTCTTTCTACTTTCCAGAAAAGCTGATAACCATCTATCTAAGATGTGTAACGTCATCCCACCACTGAGGATCAGTCGTCAGTACTGCGCAGTGAAAGCACAGTGCTTTTGACCACTCAGTCACCGTGCATCAGCGAAATCAGAAGTGGATGTTAAATTTTACTAAATCACATTGCCTTCATTTTTTTGCATCTTTAAAACTATAGAAATCTACAAAACCATCTTTCAATTTCATCCGACAAACTGGAATCGGAATATTTACTATGAGATTAATCATTAGATTTTTTTTTCTGAAATAATTGCCGGAAATCATCAAAATGCATTTTATATTTGAGTTCTTTTCAGCATTTTGTATTCAAGTACATTCTTTGAATATATGTGGAACAACATATTAAGACTCTCATTAAAATTTGAAATCATTTTAAATTTTCAGATAAAGAACAGATAAATAATCAGAATAAAGAAAAATAATCAGAATAAAGAACACAAACTTCACTTAAGGCACTTTAAAAGAAAAAAAAAATATTTTTTAAAGAGCGTTCTCATGTTTTTGTATGTTCTAAAACTTTTATAATTCAGTTTCTTCGTAAAATATTCTTTTTTAACTTCTTCATATAATAACTATTTTTTTCTTACTAAAAAAGGCTTCAATAAGAAACTCGCAGAATACTTTCCAATAAGTTTATTATACGAATTTTCAGTTTTGCATGTACCGTCGAAGTTTTTTCAGAAATAAGAACTTACTTTTACATTTTTAGAAAGCTGTAAAGACTCATCAAATACTGAAGACAAAACAGCAAATTAAAAAAGAGGTAAATAGTTAGAAATTTTTGTTTCCACGCCTTTATTCAACCTCAATGCTTTCTAAACCGTAGCAATATATAACTGTTCTTATAATATCTAATAATGAAAGAAAACTGTTTCATGTGCTAACTAATGAAAATACCGAATTGTAACAATAGTATTAACTTAAATACCTGTCATTTGTTTGGAATATTATCAATGTAATTTTTAATTATTAATTAAACTCGATGTTTCAGTATTGCACGAAAATAATTAACCTAAAAAAATTTTTTTTCTTAATTTGTGGCATTAAAGAAATATTTAAAAGACAGTTTAATGATCATTACCAATTATATCTTTAGTAACTTTCGGACTACTTTTAATTATGTGATTGAGAATATGAGTGGATGATATAATTATTCAGGCAAATTAATGCTGTTAGAAAATGCCATGGCTGAAAAGAAATTTTACGGAATGAACGGGTAGACTGTTCGAAGGTAAACTGAACAAGAAGCATTTCTTTGGTGGAATTCATATAAATTTTTTTTTTTTTTTTTGAAATAAATTTTTGTTTTCTTGCTGAAAATACTAATTCGTTATTTAGTTGTAAAAGCATATTTTACTTTATGAGAAATTGTACGATGTTAATTTTAAAATCTTTATTACTGCAAACAATTTTTATAACTGATTGTTAATATCAACAGCAAAAAAAATTTGAATGCCCTTATAAAGAAGACAAAAATGTTCTGAAAACTTTATAAATTTAAAAAAAAATAAGTAAGAAATAAAACTCAGATTTATTTTTAANAATAAAAAAAGAGGTAAATAGTTAGAAATTTTTGTTTCCACGCCTTTATTCAACCTCAATGCTTTCTAAACCGTAGCAATATATAACTGTTCTTATAATATCTAATAATGAAAGAAAACTGTTTCATGTGCTAACTAATGAAAATACCGAATTGTAACAATAGTATTAACTTAAATACCTGTCATTTGTTTGGAATATTATCAATGTAATTTTTAATTATTAATTAAACTCGATGTTTCAGTATTGCACGAAAATAATTAACCTAAAAAAATTTTTTTTCTTAATTTGTGGCATTAAAGAAATATTTAAAAGACAGTTTAATGATCATTACCAATTATATCTTTAGTAACTTTCGGACTACTTTTAATTATGTGATTGAGAATATGAGTGGATGATATAATTATTCAGGCAAATTAATGCTGTTAGAAAAAGAAAGAAAAAATTTTGGAATGAACGGGTAGACTGTTCGAAGATAAACTGAGCAAGAAGCATTTCTTTGGCGGAATTCCTATAAAATAAATTTTCATTTTTTTTTAAATTTAAAATAAATTTTTGTTTTCTTGCTGAAAATACTAATTCGTTATTTAGTTGTAAAATCATATTTTACTTTATGAAAAATTGTACGATGTTAATTTTAAAATCTTTATTACTGCGAAAAATTTTTATAACTGATTGTTAATATCAACAACAAAAGAAAATTTGAATGCCCTTATAAAGAAGGCAAAAAATTTCTGAAAACTTTATAAATTTAAAAAAAAAATAAGTAAGAAATAAAACTCAGATTTACTTTTAAGATGCGAAGTACTTGCGTACAACGCAAAATTTATACACAGAAATCCAAAAAGAAGCTTTGTTTAGCTTGTTTTTGGTAGTTGTTTGCTTTACATTACGTAATGATTTTATTTAGATAAAATTTTAGAAAAACTTATAAAAATTATTTTGGATTAAAATCGAATTCAAGAATTTATTCATTTCAATAAAAAATAAAAATAAATATTCTAATTTTATAGCTAATTTTGATAGAGAAAACATTTAAAATATTCTAAAAGTGAGATTTTTTTTAAATATTCACTTTTATTGTTTGAAAAGTCTTTTAATATCTAATAAATATTGTTTGAAATTTTTTTCTATTATTTTTAGTTTTAATTCTTGAAGAGTTAATCTTTTTACAATAATTGCAGTAATTATCTGTAAATGATTTTTTTTATACACATATCACTCACGGTATGTTATATAACCAATGAAATATTGAAAAAAAGTTAACTTCAAAAGCTAAAGTGAAAGAGGAAAATTACAAATTTAATATCTCTTATATGTCAAAACCAAAAACATATTCATTAAATTATGTATATTTTCGATTCCTTAAATCTTTAATTACATAACTGAAAAATCTGTATGCCTGCAGGTAAAAGAAAATGATCCGTATGTTGAAAAGAAAATGAGTACCAAACTGCAGATGAAAAATGTTTGTTTTGATAAGAATAATTCATTTGGAATGGAAGATAATAATCTAAAGGACCTAACAAATGTACCAGATGTAAGTGAAAAAAAATATTATTGTATTATTTTAAAGTTAAAGCCAATATATGCACTTCCATTAATAGAAGTTACGTCCTTGAAAAACTGTTCCTGACAAGTACAAAAAAGTTAATTTTATTTGATTATTTATTTTTATTTCTATTAAATTTACTTATATTTTTTAATCTTCACGAATTTTTGATACTTTATATTTTATAAAGTATGCAATGAATTTTATAAACATTACAAATGCTCAGCGCACATTCCAGGTTTTGGAGAAGGAATTGAATCTTCTTACGAAGGAATAAAAACTACACTGAGAAAAAAAGTATTTTCAAAACTGCCTGAATATGGTGAAATTTGCCGTCTTTCTTGCTCTATGCGAACACTTAAAAGCTAAGTAATTTTTACCGAAGCGCTTTTATAAGGATTTCGGTAAAATAAATAAGACATGGTTTCATAATAAGTGATAAAATTGGTAAATGACTTTGAAAATTTTATCATGATATCTAACAGCACGGCATGAAAACCATTTATTAAGCTAAATTTTCCTTTCAGTTTTGTATTTACTAAATGTATGTTAGTAAGAACTATAATTTTGAAAAACATAATTTTAGGGGACCCGTTCCCATATGAACAGATAAATTATCGAATGAATGGTTTAAATACCGTATATGTTGGTTTTATTATCCAAAAATATGTTTGGTTTTTTTACTAGAAATGCAAAAGAACTGCACAAAAGTTAAAAAACACAGCTGGTTGCTGACACCACTAATCATTAACTGTTTACTCTGCAAAAAAAAAAGGCCAATAAAAAAATACGTAATCTTAAATTTTCATAGTTAGTTTTGTTTTTAAATATAATTTTTTTCAATTTTCATTTGTTGCAAGATATTTCGCATAAGAACGCGTACCCCCGCTAAACTGTTCCCGTACCCCTGGGGGTACGCGTACCACACTTTGGCAAACACTGCCACAGAGTACGGTAATTTAACCAAAAAAAAAATTTTCTCTTCGAGGACTGAAGGTAAAAAAATGTCAAAATCAAAGAAACTTTTTAACAAAAGACCATAGAGATTTTGTTTAAAAAATTTATGATTTCGAAGTATAAAATTACTTCTAAAAATAAGCATAATAAAAAACATTATCAAAAAATACCAGTTTTAATTACGCCATGTAAATTTTAATAAAAATTACATAGTTTTGACTTTCTATTTTTAAATGGAATTTAATTTATGTTAAAACTTTATTCTTCAATTAACATCGTTTTCTACTTAAAGTAAACAGATAATTTAAAAAAAAATGAATTTTCTTTTACACTTTTTCCTTGATGCCATTTTTGCCTCTTATCGTGGTTTAAGTTCCGAGACATTTTTAAATTCTTAGACTTACTTTTTTCAGAGGCATTACTGAATCAATTCTTGTTCCTTCTGTTAAAAAAATTAATTTCAACTAACAATATTTTTAGTAAAAAATAAAAATCTCGTTTTTAATATAATAAAGAAAATTAAATCATGGTTAAACAGTAATAAAAAAATAGAAAAGCAAGCTTCAAAAACCCAAAAACTGTCGAGTTATGTTAAAAAGAACTAATAGCTTATTTTAAAATTAAAATAAATATTAAAAGCACAAAACTGTAGAAAGTTTATGTAAAAGAGTAGTTGATGATGGAAATTTTATTATTATTCTGAATAGTATTCTGAATCAACTGAACACTCAGTTGCGGAACTAAAATGAAAGGTTCAACTACTTTTTTTTAAAATTTAAATCTATTTTTTTTAACTTTTAATAACGAGTTATGTTAAAAAGAACTAATAACTTGGTTTAAAATTAAAATAAATTTTAAAACTCACTCAGTTGATGATGGAAATTTTATTATTATTCTAAATACTATTCTGAATCAACTGAACACTCAGTTGCGGAACTAAAATGAAAGGTTCAACTACTTTTTTTTTTAATTTAAATCTATTTTTTTAAACTTTTAATAATGAGTTATGTTAAAAAGAACTAATAACTTGGTTTAAAATTAAAATAAATATTAAAAACGCAAAACTGTAGAAAGTTTATGTAAAAGAGTAGCTGACGATGGAAATTTTATTTTTATTCTAAATAGTATTCTGAATCAACTGAACAATCAGTTAATCACGATTTTTATATTTTCTAGTCTTGTTTTATTGGACGAAAATTTGATTAAACTATATTCTTGTTTTACACTAATGTATAACGTTGAAAAAATGGGCATACTGTAACAATGAAATTGACAAATTGTACCTCGAAATAATGTGTAATAAACCAGAATAAATTATTTCGTTTTTTCTTTCGTTTTATTAAATCGATACTTAATAACTATTGGTTACTTTAATTTCAGCCGAAAGGAGTAAACATTTTTGTTCGAAAGACTAACTTGAAGATGAATCGGTATGATACCGAAAGTACTTCAAAAAGTGATTCTGTACCTAGAAGAAAACATTTTCTCGAAGGAAACGCTAAAATATCTTCTGATAGTGGAAAAAGTCAAAATGTAAGAATGTTCTTCAATATATTATTAGCCAGGGAATTGCTATACTCGATTGCTCTTTAATACTTTAAGAGCTGAACATCAGCAACAATTTAAAAAAAAAGTAAAAGAGAAGAAGGGGAAAAAAGTAATTTTTTTTTATTTTACTTTTGCTCCAAAAATATTTACCAAACTTTTAGTTTATAAAATAGTTTAATACATTGATTTTGAACGACTAAATATTTACAAAAGAAAACATTTTATTTCAAGTTATTAAAAATGGAGCATAACAATGCCTATTTGATATTCAACCCCCTGTGTGTTCTGATTAAAAGTTAAATTTATCCATTAAATTTTTAATGAATAAATAGGTTCCTGAAAACTATAAAGAAAACCTTGAAAAAATGTTTGATTTTAAACTTAATTTTTATTCCTTTTCGCTTGCAAATTTAAATTAACAAATTTTTTAACTGTCAGAAGTCGATAAGATATGATAAGTTTAAAAATCTCTTCTTTTTATTTCGCTTGTAGTATAATATTCAGTAATTTATAGCTTGGGGGGGGGGAACTCAAGAAGGGAATTCCAGAATTAATCTGCTATTTTTTTCTTTCAAATATTTTTATTTAAATTTCTATCCCCTCACAATAAAAAGAAAAAAGAAAAGAAAAACTATAATTGCATTGTTAAGTTTATTTTGCCTTTAAAACTTATTGACTCATTTCTGGCATTTAGGTTTTATTTTTAGTCCCTCTTAAACTTTAAATTAAAAGAAGAAAAAAAATAACATTGGAGTATGGTCACTATGATTTTCTTCTTACTATATTAAGGTCTTATTACTACTACATTATAACGAAAAATTTCTAATATTATCTCTAAGAAAAATGATCTAAATAATAACATTGAAAATGGTAATTTTTTAACATTTACAAAACATACAAAAAGTAACTTGATTAAGATATATAGTTCCATTGTTTCATTCAAAATATTCTAAATTTGTTATTCAATTTCTCTTTAGGCTGAAGTAAAGATTGAGCCTGTGGATTTAAATGCTAATATGTTTTTGATGAAAGAAAAAAACCCTGAAACAGTTTGTTTAAAAGAGAGAAATATTTCTGGGTGTATTTTGTTGAATTCGTCAAGAGAAAAGCGAGATTTGGTATTACAATATTTCATTTCCTTTTTTAAGAAAATATTTCCATACTCCTGAGTACATTTTTCGTTGTTTTCCAATTTTCGTAAGTTTTTTAAAAGAATGAATAGCATTATTTCCATTTTTCCCAACAAAAAAAAGTTCTCATTGTGTCCCTTGTTTCCTTACAACCTATGCATTCTTATAATCGATATATTTTCTTAAAATCTTTTTTTCCATAATATATATTTTTCTTGTGTTTTCTATAATTATATAACAAGTAACTATATAACTTATACTCATTAAAAAATAATTTTAGCATTGCAGTTTATGTATTTTAACAAGGAAAACGGAAAAAATATAAAATTAAAAGATATCTTTCAAATTAAAAAGAAAAATAGAATTATAATTGACGCTATGACAAACAAAAAATTATTGACTTTTCTAAAAGGTTTTTATTTTCTCAATACTGCTTTTTAATTTTGTTTTTAATGTAAATTTGTAAATTTTTCTCCTTTTGTTTTCTACTTACAACTGTAAGTCTTATGCTATATTTTGTGGTGCATGAGGAGTTTTAAGTCGTTTAAATAAATAAAAAAATTTTTTTAAAAAATACTGCTTTTTTCGGAACGTTTTTAATCCTTATGCTTTTTTGGGGCTGCACATATTCATTTTGTCATCAATTATTGACACTTGATCCCTTTTGTCAGTACCCCCACGATTTGACGAACTTCATACTGTAGGTGCACTCTAAAAACAGTACCGCTGATTTCAGAGATAAAAATGAAAACATTTTGCCTGATAATTTAAAATGAGCAACACAGTACCTTTAAAATTCAAACGTACCACGTGACTCTAAATTAACACTCGCGTACTGCTTATTGAAACACATATTTCAAAGTTGATGATGCATGTATTTAAGTGATACTGTGTATTCATGTTTCTTACACAATTACATTTTGATAATTTGGGCTATTTTCATAATCGGCAATATGTTCTGGCTGTTAGAGATGGACAAAACAGTTGTGTATAAGTGTTAACTCACAACAGTCACAAGATAACATATAATTATCAAAAAACATTATTTTCTATGATAAAAGATCTTATATATAATAATGATAAAGTGCAAGCAATGCAACCTTAATGTCAGCCAAAAAGTCATTATCGGTGTAAATCACACCGAATGATTTCAAATGAATCCCTTTTTTTGCGCATAATCCATGTGAACCGCTAGCAGTCACGAAACATTTTTCGCAAATTTGCGTTTACATACAAAAAAATCTAGATTCATCTAGTAGTCTAGATTCAAAAATAGTCTAGATTCATCTTGCATCGAAAAATACTGGAGTGATAAGACTGTTGGAAGCGGATGTTCGAAATAAATTGCGTGAAATACACCTTTCACTCTCTGCGCATGCGTACTTCTGCCTCGTGTACCACTTAAAAAAGAACATAGCTTTTTTAAAAGTAAAAAAGTGTGGCACCTTTATACCTTTAATAGATAAAAACATTTTTGCAGTAACGTAGCTAAACTCTCGTGGGGCCCTGGGGCAAACACACGAAGCAGAGCCCTTTCAATCTCTATGAATCTGAACTGCCTGGAACTAATGAATGCGTGGGTCCCCAAGTAATTTCAGTACTTGGAAATCGGAATTGTGGGAAATACACCTATAAATCTCTGCGCATGCGTACTTCCGCCTCGTGTCCCGCTGAAAAAGAACATCGCTGTTTTATTTTAAAGGTAAAAAAAGGGAGGCGAAATAATTTTGAACCTATAAGTGACCTCAGTGATTGAAAGAGCTCTTTCAATCACTGGAAATCTGATACTTTTGACTAATGTGGGAGGGGGAAGCAACGACAGTGCCCCATTGTTAATTATAAAATTCCAATTGGTAGGAGAGAAGATAAATTCAGTGTTGTAACGCTCTGTTATGATGTCAATCTTTACAACATTTATTGGAACTTTCATTTTATAATACTCCATCGTTTTTTTTTTTTTTTTTTAACTTTNTTTGTTTTTTTAACCTTTCTGTCTTTTTTAATCCTTTGATTTCCGTGCTGTCGTCTATATCTATGAGGTTAATAGCCTGTCTAACACTTATGCTAAGAAAATAAATAGTACAATGTGTTTGTACCTTATGGTACTCTTTTCAATGCATAGTAAGTAATTTGGTTACAAAAATAATAACGTAACTTTTAATTTCTTTCAATCAGATGCTGAATACAAGCCATAGTTTTTCCCCGAAACCTAATTTGGAATCTGATGGTAACAAGTCGAATGACCATTTGAATGAAATGTGTGAAATGGCCAGACGCATGGGGGTCAAAGTATCCGAAAGATTGAAAAGTCTAACGGAGCAAAAAAAGATAAGTGATTCCTGTGCTGCCTTCAAGTTCTCAAGACCACCTTTGTTTCTTCTCAGAAGAAATTTCGATGACGACAGCGACCGGATATTTACAAGAGAAAACAGTTCTAAAACGCTGCTTTCAGAAGCATATCGCACTCCTACTCCCGATAAGAGATTGAGAATTAAAATTCGAATTTGAGATTATTATTTACTGAGATGAATTAAAACAATTTTTAACGGAATTTTAAAATTAAGATGTCTATTTATTATTTTAAAGATATAGATTTAATTTTTGTATAGGTTTTAAATAATTTTGAAAGAAGTTTTAATTTATTTATCAGAAAGGTTCCTCATTCAAGCCTGTGATGTATTTTAAAGATATTAAATATTTATTATGCTATTGACCAACTTTTATTTAAATTATCATCTTATGTCAGACCTAATTTCATTCCTTTGAACTGTAGTATTCTGCTATTAAAATCCAAAGGTAAATATATTTGATTAAAATTTATAACAACCATTTTTTGTCCATGATATGTTTTTATATTATTAAATATATTATTACAAATTATACATGTTTTTATATTATTAAATATTGATATTTGAGTTATAATTCCTATTAAATTCTGATAGAAAATTTGTTAACACAATTTAAAATGTCACACTCTTTGTGAATTCGATTTTAGATATTTCAGACGGAATGGATTTTTTTTAAATGTTATAAGTTTATGTGCAGTTATGAAAAACTATTTTCTAATGAAGAGTTAGTTGTATATCATTAAATTGGATTAAAAATTCTGCTATAGAAATTTACTTTATTGTTTAAAAGTAAGTAAAATTTGAAATTCTAAATATTATTCTAAACGATTGGATGATCTTTGTTTTTCGAAATTTGTATTTTAAATTTATTTCATCTCTGAATGGTCTTTAATTCAGAGATAAATATTTTTAAAACTCTTCATTAGTTTTAACTTAAATAATTAGATTAGTTAAAAGATTGCAAAATTTTCCCTTAATTCTAATTATTTAAGGCATCTTGGATAAGGCACTAAGCTGTCATTTTGAAAAACCGGAGCTCTTTCCCCAATTGCTAATTTACACTCTAGCTGCCTTTAAAGACTCGCTCGCTTTTTTGAACACTTATGTCTTGACTGTAGTTAGTTACAATTATAATACAAGCTTTCATTTCCTTTAAAATTTGTTACCTGATATAAAACAACCAAAAAAGCGAGAAAATGCGAAACAAAGGAGCGAGTGGTTAAACACCGCTGGATTGGAAAACCGCTTCCCGATGGTGGTTCGAAACCCAACAGCCCAACATTATCGCTATCATGCCGTAGGCTGAACCTTTGGCCGACAAACTGGCTGTAACCGGAATGATTTTTTCTTCCCAAAAGTAAATCATGATATCGCTATTGAATAAAAAATAGTTTCTTTTTTCTTTCAAATGAATAATTATTCTAAAAAAAAATAATAATTGCTAATTCTCAGATAAAGGAACAAAAGATAATGGAAAGGAAAAAAAATATCTAATTTAAATTTTTTATGCAGTTCAGTATTTTATTCTAATCTAGATTAAAATGTTTTAAATATTTCACTATCTCTGACTTAAAATAGTCGTACGTGTAGTAAAACTAATTAAAACCTAACTATGATAACTTAATGTATTTTATGAACATGTATTTTTTAAAATGATATGTTAGATCGTTTTTATAAGTTTTTGTGTTTTTCACAACCAACTTTTAAAATTAATGTATAATGCTGCATTTGTTTAATTTATTACACACCTGTACAATGCTTCTTGAATGAATTTGTCTGTTTTTTTCTTCTTTTTTTGACCAAATGTATTTATAAGTGCATTTAAAATAATTTGAATTTTAACAGTTTCTAAGTTTGTACTTATAACTATGTATTTTACTAATTAACCACATTTTACATGTATTTTAAAAACAATTGTTTTACTTATACATTTTCTATAACACTGTGAAGTGATTATGTTGTTTGAGTGTCACTTTTGAGAAATAATGATCAGCCACAATTCTGATGTAATAAATGTTTTTACATTTTTATCCTTGCTCTTTGATTTAGCAGTTATATTTAATCATTGTAAAATATTTTTAAGTTGGTACTATTTAGTGTTTCACAAAGTTTGATGTAACACCACTGCCATAGTATCAAACCAGAGTTAACTGTTTTTGCCGATTTTCTCAAAATAAAATTGTTTGAAACATAGATAAATGGTACTTTAAGCGATGAAAAATAAACTGATAATTCCAAAGATATAGATGATATCATCATTTTTCAGACTATGCAGTATGCCATTTATAAAATCTTTTATCTTTATTTAATAGACATCACCATAAACTAGTTTTTGACTTTGTTATGGGCGAAAAATATTTTAAGCAGGGAAGCGCTATTTTTGGAGAATTAAATAAACTTAACGATTCTTAAATATAATTAAAAAGTTTCAAACCTTGCATTAATCAATTTATGTTAAACTTTTATTTGCAAGCATACATTTCACAAAATTTCTCACTTAATAAGATTTTTCTTGCTTTTGGTTCTTACAATGTAACAAAACAGCATTGATAAGGATTCCAATAAATCCAAAATGGATACCAGGCTTATACCTAGCCACATACCCATATAACCTCCTACGTAGCTGAACAGTTCAATGTCCTAAAACAGAAAAAAAAAACTTTGTTATTAATTTTTTTTTTAAATTTCAGTTTTTTTTTAAATTTTAATGATTTCTTTAAAATTTAGTGATTTTAAGTTAAAAATGTTTAAAGGAGATTTTTTTTTTAGTCATGATAAATAAAAATGTTTGAATTTGCTAGCAGCCTATCTTGTACAAACTTCGTGATTATTAGCATTTGTTAATAAATTGTTAACATCCTATGTTGCACACGTGGAACATTCATCATTAATTTGTTGATAATCAAAGATAATTTGCATTATATCTTTTGCCTTGATCGAATCGAGTAAGTTTTGCCCTCTTCCATTAAGTAAATTCTAGTTAGTTCACTTCGGGGTAAAATTAGGTCTGTACCTTGGTTCACTCATTACACAAAATAGTATAACCTTGTGTACATAGATATGTTTTTCTAAAAATTCCAGAGAATTTTTAGTTTTGGGCCACAAAACCCTAGGTGAGAAAAAATTTGCAAAAATGAAGAAAACAAAGTGTCTAATAGTTTAGCATTAAAAACATATCCTGAAAATTTTAACAAAATCAAAAATGTCAAGTCCAATCTTACGTGATCTGCCCGACTAAAATGTAAATGCAAATTTTAAATGTCTTATCATTCCGTATGTCTTATCATTCCGTTTCTTGAACTTATCATAATACCTCTTTAAAACTATTTGCATTTATTTCTGATATTTCCTGAGCAGAAAAGTACCGTTTATCATATGCACTGAGAATTCATATTTCACGCGTCTTAGTACCTGTAGCGGATAGTTTTTTTTTTCCAGTTTTCTTGTAATTTTGTGCCCGAAGTTAAATCACATTTAAATAAAATGTAAATGACTGAAGCCTTAATTTAATCACCATTTATTTACAATATTCATAAAACTACCTTACCTTAGCATGCCTTATAATTTGATTTAATTCATGCAAGCAATGGTAAACTGGACTTTTCTTAATACAAACAATCCTAAAACTAAATTATAAATCAACTTACGTTGAATTTAGGTTGATAAATTCTTCGTGTCAATCGGAACTTCCGAAAGGAAAATCTTATCAATATTTTATTTTTGCTGAAATGAAAAAACATAGCATTTACGTAACTGCTAATATTTCCTGTTTTTGCAGAAAATTTTAGCCTTAGACAAGTGCTTTAACTGAGCTATCACGATTCTTCGATTTTTTTTAAAGTTGTGGGAAAACTTTAGCTAATTTTAACAAGTGCTTCTTTTATTTTAGCTACCACTGTATTGTTTAGAGCAGGGTTTCTTAACCTGTGGTTCATGAACTCCTAAGTGGTCCATGAGTTTTAATTTGGGGATCCGCTGACTACTAATTTTTAAAACGTTTGAAAGCCTACCCATTGCTTGTAAAGCGAGCTATGTCAGCTATTATTCCGTTTGGTACAGTGTATCTTTGCGAAGCGGGATTTTCCACAATTGTGACAATTAAAGCATAACATCGAAATCGATTGAATGTAGAACATGATATGCACGTTGCTTTTTCGAAAACCATCCCCCAATGCAATTTATTAATTAAGGAAAAGGAGCAGCAACCTTCACATTAAAAATTTTAATTTTAAAAATTTTGTATACTATTAAAATAATAAAATTAAATGTTTTCTAATAATTGATGTTTTTTGCAATTATTTTTTTCACTGGGGGGTGATCCGTGACTTCTTAAAATTTTTTAAAAGTGGTCCATTATATCAAAAAGGTTAAGGAACACTGGTTTAGAGATTTAGCGTAGTAAAATTTTTATGCAGACATATTTTTTAATAAATAATATGAAGTGGTAGTAGATAAACTATAAGTAATAAGTGTAATAAAATGGCAATTTTTGTTTCATTATTTTCACTATTTTTTAAATTTTTTTAGACCTGTGCAAACCCTGTTTACTATTTTATTAACTTTAGGCATTAAAAAGTTTGTTTAAGTATTAAACTTAACACATAAAAAAATTTCTCACTCTCTCTCTCTCTCTCTCTCTCTCTCTCTATCTCTCT